CTTATGAAAGAAGAGGGAGATAAAATATAAATTAAAAAAAAAAAGAAAATTGTTGGAGCAAAGAGAAGGTTCAAGGTAAAGAGCACTGGCTGTTCTACCAATACCCACATTCGGTTCCCAGCACCCACACTGTGCTTCACAACTATCTGTAGCTTCAGTTCTAGAGGATCTGATGCCCTCTTCTGGCTTCCTTTGGTTACATGAGGGTTACACAGACATTAGTGCAAACAAAATGCCCATAAACATAAAATATTTTTTTAAAAACAATTTTAAATAAGAAAACTAAAATTCTTTCTTATGGGGATTCAGACCTCATTAAAATATAAACTAAACACTTTGTAGTTTGACACTTAAATGCACCTCCAGCTGCCCGTGGACTGAGCTTTGAGAAAGGCTGTGGAGAACAGGGATCTTGAAGTCGAGATTAGCCACATTTCATTCTTAACCTGGCCTTCTGCTGTGAATCAAGTTGGGACCTTAAGATTTCCCCTGCCCTCCACTTCCCAGCCCTGCTTTTACCCAGTTTGAGTCCAGGTAAACCACTGGCAGGAATTCATAAACAAATAGGATAGACACATTTGGTTTGGGTGTAGGAGTTAGAGAAGGGGCTCTGGCGTATAAGCAAACTACCTTCACTCAGACCTAGGTCTCACTTGTACTAACAGTATTTAGTTAGGACAAGTTTATACAAGTATGGCATTTGAGGAATTACTTAAGTCTAGATTTCCAAGAGCCTCAGCTTATTCAACTCTAAAACAGGTGCACTAATGTAGAAGGGACTGATCTGAGAGTTATGACTTCTTAATGGCAAAGGGCTTGAGACAATAAGAGGAACCTCAAAAATAAATTACCTGTTATAAGGATCACAAGCATGGAAAGAGGGCTCCTGTGCATGAAGCGAAGGTCACCTGCCTGGACAGCCTCACACATGGCCTTTCACTCCATCCTTCCAGAGAAGATAGCCATTCCAGGGGAGGTTGGACAAAGTTGCACTGGAGGAGACAGGATCCTCAGATTCTCAGTTCTGATGCTCCGACCTACAGTCACTATTCAGCCACCATTTGGCCCTCCGTCCCTGTGCATTGTATCAGCCTATAAAATGAGCTGTAGTTTCTTGGGCTGCAATTAGGAAAGTGTATGCAGCCCTGTGTGGAACCACATTAAAAGGAGTGATAAAGTGATGGCTGGACAGGAAGTAAGAATCAAATAGTCAGAAAGTGAGGAGGATAATGAGAAACAGAATGCACTTCCAGCTGTGGGGAATAGAAAGACACATGGGTAGAAACATTCTAAACTTCACTTTAAATTTTCAAAAATATGAATATTTTCAGGATCTTGAAATCAGGGATTTTATTTTTTTTTTAAAAAAAGAGACCCATGTAATGACACTTTATATAATACCAAGCCCAAAGAGTCCTCCCCTCTCATGAAACTTTTGCTGAACACTTATTATGTACCAAGAATAACTGGATGGAAGAAATCTACTATATAATTAAAAACATCCCTAGCTCCTGGGATGATTCACCTTTCACTTACCCAGCAGGCACTGTGTGGATGCTTCTGCTGTGCCCAGGGCTCTGGGAATGTGTGGCACTCATGGGTTTTTTTTTCAACACACAGGATTTATTTCCTTTTAGGTAAGAGGGTATGTTTCAGGCCACAGCTCTGGGCAGCGTGTCAGCTCAGCATGTCCCACCCTTGCTATAGGATGACCTGGCCTTGGCTAGGAGCTCAGCCTGATCACAGCCTTGCTCTGAGCTTTCTCTCACTGCAGCTGGTACTGTGTCTAAGACGGGGCTAGGCCCTCTGACAGGTGGAAGAGAATGATGACAAAAAAAAGCAAATGAAGTGAAGGAAGACTGTGCCTCTGTGTGCAGGCACGCATGTGTGTGTGTGTGTGCAAACAAGTGTGTGATAGAAGAGGATACAGGTACGTGTATGCATATGTGTGACTGCATATATGCAATGGGAGCAATTGTATGTGCATGTATGCATGCACCTCTGTGCAAAAATCGGTGTTGGAAGAACATTGTGTGCAGACGTTTATATGTGAGTATGTATGTGGTTGAAGAACACACCTGTGCTAACCCATATGAAAGCGTGTGTGAGAGACAAAGATGAAGTAGAGAGGAAATTCTTGGTATTTTGTCCCAGTTTCTACAGTATTTGAAGGCTCCTTTACTCCTACTCTTTCATTGTCTTGTTATTAAATGCAAGAAGTCAATACAGAATTGCATTCTCAAGAAAGAGAGAAAATGAGTTAGGAAAATGAAAATGATGTCTGCAGCATTCTAGGAACTTAAAAACAACTTAAAGAGCCAAGCGTGGCCTTCGAACTTGCAAGCACCACAAGTGGGCACTTATATGTCCACAAGGGTAGGGAAGGCCGAAGGACTGGGGCCCCTCCCCCTGAGGTTGTGTTCTGAAGCGCTAAACAGGGCCTGCAAGTTTCTCTTTCAAATGAATTCCTTTAGTCTATGAACGAGTTCTTGGGAACAAGATTTGGGCACCAATCCATAAAATAAAACAAAAAACTATTATTCTATGGGGAAAAAATGCAATGGGTTGCATGTTCCCATGCAGGGCCCCATGAAACCATAGTCCTAGACACATGTGACTGGGTGTGTGATAGTAGTGGCACATTATATGTCCAGCAACGAGCTTACTATGTAGCAAGCACAAAATAAGTGCCTATAAGAGAAGGAAATGGAGCTGCCACACAGAGCTGGTCTACTGCCAAGCTCAGGAAATGCTGTGTGCTTTATCCACATGGAGATCCCCAGCACAGAGGAGAAAACTGAAGAGTTTTGAGTTCAGCGAGTAGAAGCAGGCATCCCTTTGTCAGGGATGGGTCCCAGGCCCGTTTCTCACTCATTAGCAGGTTTCACCTCATAGCAACAAACAGCTCTTCCTACATCCTCACTCTGGTGTGGAGACCTCATGTGGACAACATGGACTCAGGAGACAAGGTCTTCCCCACAGCCTGGCCCAGGCACACGCTAGAGCTGGTTTATTGGGAAGCTGCATGCTGCCTAGCTGTATCTGCATCTCATTCTCATTCCACTTAATGCTACTAGCCAAAGACCCCTGAACGAGGCGTGTAGCTTACTAGCTACGAGAGTATATTTGCATCTCACCACACACATCACAGCATCCTACACACACACACACACACACACACACACACACACAGTGGGGGTGGGAGATTTTGATCAGAAGTGTTTAAACATTAGGGCAAAGAGAACAGCTTCCAATCTAAATGTAGCTGGCACAAATTGGGTGAGATTAATGGAGTCAGATCCAGACTCTTTGAGTCATTTTTAGAAAATCAGCAGGTTCTCACTGGTATTATCCTATTTCAGCACCACAGTGGAAGAAAACTCACTCAATAGCTCTCATGGTCAACACCACAGGAACCCAATAAGCTATATTAATGTGCAGAAAAGATCCAGGGCAGGGCAAGAGGGACAGCAAGCTCATTCTAGGCATGAAATTCTGCCAGAACTCAGGAGCTCAGCTTCTTTAATAAAATCAAATGTTCTCTGCAAGAAATTAATCAGTTGTGGTGATTAATTACATCCATCCAAGTTCATCTTTGCATGCAGTACAGTAAGAGCTATGCCTAAGAGTTGAATATCAGGGTTTCTTACCCCCCAAATACAACAGGCTGTGTGGCAAACGCAGGGTAAGATGTAGAGTTGAAAGGAACAAAAGAGGGAGGGAGATTATACTGGGCTGTTTCAGACTGCCACTGAAAGCCTTTGTCATGTAGTCTGATGTGATGGGGTACTCCCTTAATCCTAGGACTCAGGAGGTGGAGGCAGGAGATCAGGAGTGTGAGTCCAGCCTGGATTACACAGTGAGATCCTGATTCTCTAACCTCCACCACCCTCCCTGGAAATTTTTTATTGTACTCAGTTTGTAAGCCTTTCCCTGACACTGATGGTCCTAGCAGAGTTGGTCTGTTCCGTGTGTTTTTCTTCATTTTTTCCTCCAATTATCTTAAAAACTATAGCCTGAGCTTCAGCAGTATTGCTATACACTAAGTAATAACCAATCACTCCTCATGATTTCCTTTATCTCAGTGATTGGTAGAGGGACAATCTTAGCACTCAAGCCAACCAAGCAGAAGGCTTCTTGCAACTGATGTTTGAATTCTGCAAAAAATCAGTTTTACCACTGGGTGAGTTGGATTTAATGTTTTATAACATTGTTCCTCAGCACTGGATGCCTGGAACCATCACATCCTTTTTTCTGTAGCTGGTTTGTGCTAACCTGTCTATCCACAACTAAAAATCCTGACCTATACAATAACCCCTACTCTAGCCAGATTATTTAGTTGATAGCAAGCTTATGATTGGGAGAACATGAGCCTGTACCTTTAGATTTGATCCAATAGCTTGAATCTGTGCCACTCTAAAGCTCTCTCTGAGACCGTTGAAAATCAGTCTGTGCTGTGACTTGACAGCTTCCAGTTTATGATACCTGGCTGTTCCAAGCTCCTTGTCATATATGCTGTGCTGAACAATATCATGTTGTGTAAACCTTCTCAACATCATTAAAATGTTATTTTTTTTAAAATCAAACATATCCTTTGTCCCAGAGATTGGTCCAAGATTCCTCAGAGAGACTGTTAGCGAATTCAGCCCACAGAAATGAAGGATGCTCTCTGAAGAGGCTCCCCTGGCCTCCTTCTTTCCCCCACCTATCATCCTTCTCTTGGTGGCTATATATCTCACACACCCTCTCCATTTCTTTTTCTTTCTCATTTTTACTCTTTTTTTTAAAATTTTTTATTAATTACACTTTATTCACTTTTTTTATTAATTACACTTTATTCATTTTGTATCCCCCCATGAGCCCCTCCCTCCTCCCCTGCCGATCCCACCCTCCCTCCCCTTTCTGCATGCATGCCACTCCCCAAGTCCACTGATAGGGGAGGTCCTCCTCTCCTTCTTTCTGATCTTAGTCTATCAGTTCTCATCAAAAGTGGCTGCATTGTCCTCTTCTGTGGCCTGGTAAGGCTGCTCCCCCCTCAGGAAATTTGCAGGTACATGGTGGGACCTGGAAAGGATCATCCTGAGTGAGTTGACCCAGAAGCAAAAAGACACTCACGGTATATACTCACTCATATAAACATACAATATAGAATAAACCCACTAAAAGCTGTACATCTAAACAAACTAAGCAAAAGAGAGGACCCTAACTAAAATGTTCAATCCCCATCCTGAAAGGCAAAGAGGATGTACATCAGAAGAAAACGAAAATAGGAAACAACCTCGGAACCCGCTACAGAGGGCCTCTGAAAGCCAGAAGAAAACAGGAAACAACCTTGAAACCTGCCACAGAGGGCCTCTGAAAGCTTCTGCAGTATAGACTGTCAAAGCAGATGCTGAGCCTGATGGCCAACTGATGGGCAGAGTGAATGGAATTTTGTGTAAGAAGTGGGAAATAGTAAGAGCTGGAGGGAACGGGAACTCCACAAGCAGAGCAACAGAACAAGATAATTTGAACACAGGGAACTTCCCAGAGACTCATACTCCAACCAAGGACTATTTGTGGAGATGACCTGGAACCCCTGCACAGGTGTAGCCCATGGCAGTTCAGTGTCCAAGTAGGTTCCATAGTAATGGGAAGAGGGACTGCCTCTGTCATTTTTACTCTTAATGAAGCTCCTCTGCAGACGTTAAAGGAAAATCTCTCTTTCATGTTTAGATCTCCATACACTGCATTGTTTCTGTCTAATGTTCTCTCTCCCAACCCAAGACTCAAACGTGGCCTCAAGGCATCTCATTCTAATAAAACCTCATTGAAGGGAGTTGTGTCAGACTCCTTTGTGGATGGACTGCTGTGGGTTTTACTTCTTTTTTAACAACAATTGTACCTTCATTCCAGTTAGAAACCAATCTAACTGTTCTAAATCTCACTGTGCTAAAGTCAAGGTGTTGGCAGGGCTGGTTCCTTCTGGTGCAGCAGGAACTGTTGCCGTTCACATTAAAGCTTCTGGATGCCCCTTATCACTGCCCCCCTCAGCTGGCAGCTTCTACATCTCTCCAATCTTTAGAATCCTTGGCACATCAAGTCCTACTCTTTTTGCCTTCCTCTTAAAAGGCCCTTTTTGTTTGATTACACCGTAGTGCAGGGTAGTCTTCTCTGATTTGTAACTTAGGCTTACCTTTATATGCAAATTTTCCTATGAGATATAAATAAGAATATATATTCACCAGATACATACCAACAGACTAAATAAATATGTCATAATCAGCATCAGCTGTCCACCTGACACAAACCTACAGTCACCGGGAAAGAAGGAACCTCAACTGAAGAATTGCCCGGATCAGATTGCCCTGTGGTTGTGTTGATGAAGATTTTTCTTCATTGCTAATTGATGCAAGAGTACCCAATTCACTCTGGGTGGTGCCATCTATAGACAGGTGGGCCTGGAACATACAAGAAAAGTAGCTGAACAAGCCAGCGAGAGCAAGCAAATAAGCAGCATTCCTCCATTGGTTTCTCCTTCAACCTCTTGCCTTGGCTTCCCTTCATGAAGGACTGTAACTTGAAAGTAAAAAACCTTTTCCACAAGTTGCTTTTGGTCAGTTTTCTTATGGCAACAGAAACCTACCTAACTGATTCCATCCAAGCCCAGCTTGGTGAATCAATGTCTTTATTGAGGTTAGTTACAGTGAATTGGTGAGCAGCTATTTATAGGAACTTTATGGAGTTAGAAGCAACCTCATTACTAAAAATTCCCACCCCAGCATTGGTAATAATTCATAAAAGCTGTACCACCCATCACAATAATTTTACTTTCAGTCAATTTTTCACCTCTATATACTTCACAACATCCAAGACCATGTACAGCCAGGGTCCAGAAGATAGTAGTAGGGAAACTCACATTGGTAATCTGGTGCTCCTCCTCCCCTTGTATGTCCAAGGGAAAGCTAACAACTCCATTACCATTCTCAGAGCTAGCTTTTGCTGTACTGTTTTGCTAAAGCTACTGGACTACAGTATTCTGTATGACAGCACAGCAGCATCTGCTCTATGATGGGTGATGGCCATAAAAAGCATGGAGCAAAGAACTACAATGCATCATTTCTGCAAGACCCCCTTTATCATGGAAGGTAGCATATTCTGGCATTCCATAATTAAGATACGGGTATCGTTAAAGGGCCATTATTTAATGCACTATACTTAGTATGTAACAAAAAGCAATAGAAATTAAATGTATGACATATTTATGATCTTATGAAGGCCTGATATTATAAGCATCTTAAATATTAGAGAAGACAGAATTATGGCACAGACAACAACAAAAAAAATGGTCTTTCTTCAATGTACATTATTCAAGTATAGCTCTTCAGGAAAAAAAAAAAGAATTTCTCACATCGATAAGAAAGACATTCGGGAACTTACAAGGTTTCTCAGATCTTCCATAATGTTTTTTACTTGGACCTCATTCTTGGGTCTACCTGAGAAGAGCACTACAGAGTCTTCTCAAGATGAGCCAAATCCATCCTCTGGGAGGAGACAGGGCTTCTAGTTTTTAAGATGTACCGTAGAGATCACAATATTGCTCTTGAGTGTATGACATAAGCCAATGCTGATCCGTTCATCAAATTTCATGACATGGTGGAAGGACACATTGTGACATACATCAATCAGTTCAACTCCTACTTCCTCCCCTCACTAGTCTCTAGCTGTCAAGTTCAGAAACCCGTTATTTATATCAATAGTATTATCTAACATTTATTGACATTTACCAAAGGCCAAATGTATTGTTATGCAAATATAGTATCATATATAATCACAGTTGGCAGAGGCAGGTGAAACCCCTGAGGTTGATATGGCTGTGCTCTATGAAGCCACGTGAAAGTCTATGCTTCCCTTTTTAGGATATCTCTTTCTACCCCTAGAGCATCAGAAACCTCAGCAATAGATGCAGGCATAGAAATATCTTGGAGGCTTATCTGCAAGAGAATTATGTAGACCTGGTACACATCGCTTGCACTCACTTCCCATTTTAAGGTCCCAGGCAGTTGAATCTTATCGGGAAGCTTAGAACTGTAGACTGGTTTATGTCCAGGAAGAAGAGAGAAAAGATTTCAAAGAGCAGATAGCATTGTCCATTTCTCACTTAACTTCAGTTCCAACATCAGCATGAGGTGATATCACTGACTGATCCATTGTACATTTGGGGCTCTAAGAAATAATAATAATAAACCTCACTAGATCCACTCAGGTTTCTGAGTCCCAATGCTATGCTTTTAGACAGAGCATTGCAGGAGTGGCCATATCTCTACTCCACTCTGCCCTGTGAATTCTTTGCAATAATTCTAGATGTTTTTGGATGGGGACCCGAGACTGGCAGGGTACACTGTCCTGCCTCCTTTGTAGTGAGAGTGAGTTCAAGTGCTTGGCCTCTGGTGGTGAAATACAAAATAAGGCTAGATAGATGTCCAGGACTGGCATTTAGTGGCAAGAGGCCAAGGATGATGCCACTTGTCTACAATGCACAGAACAACCCCACAACTCAAATCAGCTTGTCTCCTCATGCTCCTGGTGCCCCCCAGACTGAGCCAGCCCTACACTCAGCATCACTGTCAGGTAAGAGGGGCCTCTGGGAGTCACCCACTGGAAAAGTTCCTAATGTTGACATAAAATTGCTGAATTTAAGTGAATGATATTTCCCCCTTGTAACACAAAATAAAAAGTGCCAAATTATTTAACTTTTGACGGAAAGTATTGCTTGAATAAAAATCCATGCTTCGTAAATAAGACTGAAAATAGCTAGAATGTGAGCCAAGCCAAGAATCAACTTCAAGCAGAAAAGTGAGGGCCAGGTTGAGGGAGCTCCAGGAAATCAGACAGAGGGACTCCTCTCTGCTTTGGCAGCACTTGATTTAAGCTCATGTGCTAGCACGGCATTGTGGGTCCAGCAAAGCACCGAAGCCAGGCCATGAGTCTGAACTGGTTTTATGATAGTGTGGATAAAAAGTAAGATCCTTGTGCTTGAGACATGGCTCAGCAGTTAAGAGCACTTGATGTAAATTATGAAGACTGAGGGAACCCAACCCACAGGCAACAAGCCCCACAAATACTTAGAACCCCACAAACACTTAGACCTTTCAGAGAGGCCGAAACAGGATGGTTTCTGGGGCTTATTGACACATACCTGGGTTCAAAAAGAAAGCCTGCCTCAGAGGAACAGTGGAGAACTTTGGACAAGGAAACCTAATGCCTTCTTTGGACCTACTGGTGTGCTGAGAGGCATACTCTATGTTTATGTATCATACATTCTCATAGACAAATACGTATGTGCATGTGCACACACATGAATAACATAGGAAATAAATGAACATGTCTTTAAAAAGTAAGACTCATATCCCAACCAAGGAACATGCGTGGAGATAACCTAGAACCCCTGCACAGATGTAGTCCAGGACAGCATAGTATCCAAGTGGGTTCCATAGTAATGGGAAGAGGGACTGCCTCTGACATAATCTGATTGGCTTGTTCTTTGATCACCTCCCCCTGAGGGGAGAGCAGCCCTACCAGGCCACAGAAGATGACAATGTAGCCATTCCTGACAGGATCTGATAAACTAAGATCAGAAGGAAGGAGAGGAGGACCTCCCCTATCAGTGGACTTGGGAGGGGCAAGCGAGAAGAAGGGGGAGGGAGGGTGGGGCTAGGAGGGGAGGAGGGAGGGTCTTATGGGGGGATAAAAAGTGAATAAACTGTAATTAATAAAAAATAAAAAAAGATAAAAAAGAAGACCTTTTTCTTCACAGTTCCACGTAGTGGTGGGTTGGAGAAGAAGGCTCAAACCTTTATTCCCCATTTTCTAGCTGTGTGACCTTGGGAAGACTACCTTTTGTGTGACTTTTCTTATGCTCTCTTAAATGGGTCTAATATCACATGTACCCTGCAGAGCAGGAAAGATTAGGTGATACAATGACATTTGCAAAGAAATTAGCTTGGAGTCTGGTGCTGTTAACCCTTTACTGCCAGCCCTTAGCTACAGCCATCCTTGCTGTTTCCTCCCTCTCAGGGGCATGCTGAGCCCTGGGGCAGAACATTTGCCTGAACAGATTTCACTGTGATTCCAAACACCTACCCAACTCCAGATTTGTCCCTGCTCTTGCTGTCACCCAGGCTGCAGCAACCAATAGCCTGGAAGGTCAGCTCAGCCACCAATGAGTTTGGAAGATCATTCTCAAGGTAGCCCCTGAGCAATAGATATGATGCTACGTAAGAGACAGCCATGCTGCCAGAGTGCTAGGATTCAAATACTACCATTCCCAACTGGCCAGATGTGCTTGCCTCAACTTCCTCTCTCACCAAAGGGATATAAGTCACCATCAGGATGTAAGACCCAAAAGAGTGGGGATCTTGTCTGCTTTGTTAGTGACTACAACTCTATCACAAAGGATTGGGTCCACTACATAGTAAGTAGCCAACAAGTGTTAGCTGAATGTATGAATGAATGAATGAATGAATGAATGAATGAATGAATGAATGAATGGTTATCCTCCATTGAATAGCATTGTACATGGTATGCATACGGGAAACAACATTACTAATAATGATGTCAATAAGGAGAGAGATAAACAGAGAGAGGGAAGGTAGTCATCAAGTCTCAGTACACAGTGTCAGCTTCAGGTTTGAGTCTGAAGAACCAAGACTTGTCATGGGTGTGAAGTCAAGGGAGTCAAGAGTGAGTCTTCTTTCTTAGACTCTTCCTCATCCCAAAGCTTGCTGCTGTGGCCCCTGCCTGGCTAGTCCATGAATCTGATGTCCATCCCATCATCATATCCCTGTGTTTCTTTGCTAATTAAGTACTTATGGATGACTCTAACACAGCACGTCTGACCTCACAGGTCCCTGTACATTGGTCTAGCAAGATGTACTCATGCCAGGAAGTATTGAGCATACACACCTACCTTGTGTACAGCTAGAATCTCTGTTGTAGTGGGGGGTCCCTACCCGGCCCTCCATGGGAGTTATGAAACAACTATTCAACTGTGGTTCTACCCTTATACAAGTGGCCAGTGGTGTTAAGTGTTGAGAAGTTAAATGTTCTCCTTTTCAAACTCCTCATGGCTCCATGCTCTAGGTTTCATTGGTACAGCACACAGGTCAGAAAGGGCAGGGAAGCAGAGAGCGTGATTTTGCTGGTTAGTGTTGCTAGAATGAGTCTTAGTTTTGTTTTGTTTGTTTCGTAAACAGCAGGACTAGCAGGGATTTAACAAGGGGTATCATTAACCAGGTAGATGACAGGAAGTAGGACAGCAATTGCTGGAGCCAATGTCTCTGATGGAGACTCATGATCCTTGTATCACATAAAGGTGATGTGCCCAGAGTACAGATATGTTGGAACATCCCAATGCTCAGCTTCCCAAGTTCCCTATAGGAGGCAGATTTGGATGGCTGTT